GCTAACAAGAAGTATCCCGAAGCTAGGAAACTGACGTACGTTGAGGCTCCCACCAAATTTACGTGGCACTCGAAAACCAACAGTTGAGAGCCTAGGAAAGGAAGTGACCGAATCACGCGTTTGTACTTCGTCCCCTCTGGTGCTGGTGACATATATTACTTGAGGTGTCTTCTCAACGTTGTTCGAGGTGCAACGTGCCATCGTAACTATATGAAGTTGGACGGAGTACAACACGATTCCTATCGTGATGCGTGTTATACCCTCGATCTGGTTGAGGACGACAAATAGTACATTGAAGGGATTATCAAGGCAAGCCAGTGGTCGAGTGCCAATTCATTGAGAAACCTTTTTGCTACTTTGTTGTCTTCTGATACTCTCGGTATACCGGAGTTCGTGTGGGAATCATGCTGGCCTTACCTATCGGATGACGTATTATATAATCGTCAGAGGGTTTTACACTACCCAGGTAAATGAATCAATTACGGTCACATATATTTTTTTTCTTTTTCTCTTATGTCTTTATATTTATAAACTTTATATATTGTTGTTACAGAATTGGTTTTGAGCGATGATGAAGTAAAGAATCTGGCATTGACGGAGGTTGAAAAAAATTTGCGCAGACGTGGTGCGAGTCTACGCGAATATAGTACAATGCCTTTTCCTAATCTCGATCGTAATGAGGCATCCACGAACAGACTGGTAATGGACGAGTTGAATTACGATCGTCATGCACTCGCTACTGAGAATCAGGAGTTGGTTGCCAATATGACTGATGAGCAGCGCAATGTTTATGACTCGACAATGGACTCTGGAGGGCGTTGTCTTCTGCTTTTAGATCCAAAGGTGAAATTGTGTTGAACATTGCATCGAGCGGTATTGCATCACTTTTGCTTCCCGGCAGACGCACTGCTCATTCACGATTCAAAATCCCACTAAACCCAATGGAAGGTTCTACATGCGATATTAGCCAGCAGAGTCCTTTGGCCGAACTGATCATACGATGTCGGTCGATCATTTAGGATGAAGCCCCGATGATAATCAAATATTGCTTCCAGACGGTTGACAACACCTTGCGAGCCTTAATGGAAGCAGTTGATCCATCGAGGAAAAATCTCCCATTTGGCGGAAAGTGTGTTGTGTTAGGTGGGGATTTCAGACAGATACTCCCCGTTGTCCCTAAAGGCAGTCGAAGTGACATAGTTAATGCGACCATCAATTCATCCAAGTTGTGACGCGATTGTATCGTTCTGAGACTTACTCGCAATATGAGGCTTCGAAGCCTTGGTGGGGGCGATGAGTATGTTGAGTTCAGGAACTTCTCTGAGTGGCTTGCAAACATCGGCGACGGTACAGTCGGTGAATCGAACGACGGTTGTGCCGATATCGACATCCCCGACGATTTTCTTCTACACTCACAAGGGGATCCTATTGGTACTATTGTTGAGAGTACCTACCCCATGTTCAGGAGTGCAGGTGACGATCTTAGCTATCTAAAGGACAGAGCCATACTCGCTCCCACACTTGATGTGGTTGAGTCCATTAACGAGTACATGAGCTCACTGAACTCATCCGAGGGAAGGACTTACTTGAGTTCAGACACCCCGTGCAAGTCAGATGCTGGATATGATTCTCTTCAGGATCTTCACACTCCTAAGTTTCTCAATGGGATCAGGTGCTCTGGCCTTCCAAATCATAAACTGCACCTCAAGGTCGGCACTCCAGTGATGCTTCTCAGAAACATTGATCACTCCATGGGGTTGTGCAACAGTACTGTTCATCAAAATTCAATTTGTCATCTACGTTTCCCTTTATCTTTGTACATTTTTGAGTGAGATGATTTTGTTTTCTGAGTTTTGATGTCAACAGGTACACGGTTGGTTATCACTATGCTCAGCAGCCATGTCCTCAGATGCAGGATTTTAACCGGTGCCAGAGCTGGTGACAAGGTTCTTATTCCTAGGCTTACAATCATACCATCCGATTTGAGGGTACCGTTCAAATTTCAGCGCAGACAATTTCCGCTCATGGTCTCATATGCTATGACTATCAACAAGAGTCAAGGCCAATCACTGTCCCACGTCGGATTACTATTGAAGAACTCTGTATTCAGTCATGGACAGTTGTATGTGGCACTATCTAGAGTTACGAATCAAAGGGGTCTGAAGATAATGATTTGTGGTGATGGAGATCTTGACGATAGAAAAATCACGAACGTTGTATATAAAGAAGTGATTAATAATATTTAGATTTAGATTTTATTGGTTAACTTTTTTCTCAACGATCATGTTATGAATTTTACAATTATTTTTTTATTTTTTTTTATTTTTTCCTCTATCGTATATTTTTCTGTGCGTGTGCACGGGTCAAAAGCTAGTAGTTTATAAAAATACGTGAACTTCAAAAAAAAGTAAATCTATATATATATATAATTGCTGGCTAATAGCATTTAATAAAATATTTAATAAAAATGATTTTGATTTTCCTCCAAAAACCGTTACAAACTTTATCGTTTATGTCTCTCTCTATATTTAATTACCAACAATAAATTTAACAATATTAATTATTGTTTACCATCTTTTTATGTTACAATCTTCATTATTATTATTAATCCATCAAATCTAATTAATGCTAAAATATTTCATTGCACTTTTTTATGGTTAATTGAAACAAAACCGTTACACTTTATATTAATGGAGTAATAATTACATTATTTTATTATATCATGTAATAGTTGTTATTAAAACTAATAACTATAGTTTACACTAAATGATATATGAAAATTACATAAACATAAAAAAATATTGTAAACTTTTTGCTAAAGTTATTTATTCTAAAATTAATATTATATTTTTTTTAATCTTATTTAGCGATTGTATTTTTAAATAAGTTAATTTATTTTAATGTTGTATTAAAATTTCTTATAATCGCATAATCAAATGTTATAATAAATTTAATATTTTTAAGCTAATAAATTGCCGATCTCTCAAAATTACATTATTTATTATATTTTATGTAATTAATATAGTGGTTCATATGCAATCAAATAGTTATGTATTATTTATTTTAACCAATGATCAAATTTTAAAAAATGATATCATTATCTTATTTATATTTTATTATCATATGCATATATATAACTTATAATACTCTATGTTTAAAATATAATATCATTGTGTAACTATAATTTTAATACTAACATAAATATAACTTCTAATATTCTATTTATACTGCAAATGCACAGGGTCGAATACTAGTTGAGATAACTGTTAGCTTTTCAAGCCAATCAGTTACAAAAAAAACCTCCAAGCTTTTATTTAAGAAAAAAAACCACCGAATAAGAAAACAACATACATACAATTGCTAATATGGATAATGGATGAATAAACTGCCAGAAAAATATTAAAAAATCAGCACTCTTAAAGTTGCTGGAGCCGAAAAAAAAAAGTTAAATAGAATAAAATCAAAACACAATAACAAAGGGAGTTCAAGCACTAGATGAAGACTATTAGTTCCCATTTTAAGAAAACGAATATATATGAAATTTATTTAAAAAATTATGCATAAAAAGCATACATCCCCATGTATATATATTAGGGGTGAGCATGGGTCGGTACGGTTCGGAGATTGATAAATCTCCAGAACCGAACCGAAGTTCGGAGATCACTAAAATTCGATCTCCAGAACCGTACCAAAAAACGGTTCGGTCCAGTTCGGAGATTTTTATTTTTCGGTTCGGTTCGGTTCTGGTTTCGGGACTATCGGAACGGTTCGGCTCAGTTTGGTTCGGTTCGGTTATTCGGAGATTTCTTATCATTTTTTAAATTTTTTTGAATGACCACCTAGTTATATTTTATTTTTTATATGTTTTTTTTTCAAATCCAACATTCATTAATACTTCATCATACTAAAGAATTTATTTTTAAATCAACTTTAGAAGTAACCCTAAATTTTAGTTAAGACTAAATTCAACTAACATTGAAAATTTAAATTCAAACAAAATATAATACAGTTTTATATTAAAGTAATATTAATTTAACCTTCCATACCATGTTAGTTATAAGATAAACTAAGGGTAAGTATCGACAACTTTAAGTAAAGCTTGAATTATTTTTTTTTAAATCTTTAACCTTTCATTCTATTTATTTTTTTTTTAAACATGAAAAATTCAATTGTAGATCAAGTATTACTAAACATGAAATGTAAGTGAATCTTAGTTGTTATTACTATATTTTATTTGCATTTTAAAAATTCTCAAATTATATAGAATCAAAGTTGACATAAAATATATTAATAACACGCATCTATTTTTATATTTCGGTTCTTAATTTCGGTTCTTCGGTTCGGTACAGTACGGGACGGTTCGGTTCGGTTCTCGGTACGGATATTTATGAAATCTCCAGAAACGTACCAATTATTTTTTCGGTTCGGTTTGGTTCGGAGAAAGTCAAACGGTCAACGGATATTTTTCGGTTCAGAATGATTTTGGTTCGGTTTCGGTACGGTTCGGAATTCTTCGAGTCCCATACTCAACCCTAATATATATATATATATATGTATATATGAAATTTATTTAAAAAATCATTCATAAAAAGCATACATCCCCATGTATATATATATATATATCTTATCTCTCTCTTATCTCTCTTATCTATATATGAAGAAGTTAAGCCTCTTCTATGAGTGACACATGTCCAATTTTGTGTTCTTAAAAAACTGCCACGTGTCCAATTTTATTTACAATTTGAGCTACTTTGTTTTGCTATTTTGGTTGCACTATTTGCCCATTTCGTGGCTTCCAATACAATTCATTGGTGAATTTAATTTCTGTGTACCTTTTGCCAGAATTCCGGGTCAACACAATCCCTTTCTCGCACAATTCTCGCACACGCAAGTTGGATGGAGACGGGAGCAGGTAAAATCCCTCTTACAAACCCTACCCAACCAAATTACTCTCAATTACAATTCTCAAAAGAACTACAATGACGACGCGGATGATGACACTACCAGTCCACCAACTCAGCCAGCTCCGGCAACGGCTTTATCAAGGGTTTCTTCGCCTTCTCCCGCCGAGAATTGAGCCCTAGGGCCTCCGACACCTCCTCGGAGCTCCACCCGCCTTTTTGGAGCACATCGGGGAACCGATCCGCTTTCATAGGCAGGGCGTCCATTATCATCTGGTTGTCGACCATCACCATCCCGCTATCAAATAAACCCGACACCAGCACCCCAGATTCCGACCATCCGCCCTCCCTCTGAACCGGCCCAATTCCGGTCACGTAGCCGTCAGACCCACGCAGGCGCCTCGGATGTCAGCATGTCGATGTGCTTCTCTGGTGAGGACGAGGACGAATTTTAATTCCTACGCCAGACTGTTGTGTTGTTGCTCAAGATTCATGAAGAAGAATCCGATTGGGAAGGTGAGAACAAATCGCTTTGCAGTATTGTTCTTTTGAGTTCATGCTGTTTTTTCGCTGCTTCATTTCTTTTGAGATTTCTCTCATTAGATTCTCTTGCCTGAAAAACCCGATTACTGTGTTTTCGAGAGCAATTGCGTGTTTATATAATTGTTGTGGTGGAATATTTAGGTTCATATTATTCATATGATGAATAAATTGATGTTCTAGGTGATGGAATTTTACTTCCAACGTAGTTTGAGATACTTTAGAATTCTGCACAGAGTTGATAGATCTCTTTTATTTTTATGGTTGCTTTGTTTTTCCTTGGCAACATATGGAGTTTTGTTTACTGTGCCCTGCTCTAAATGCATTCCATCCCTTTGTTTCCCTACTTGCCATATTTGACTCAGACAAATTAAAATGAAGAACTAAAAAAAGATACGAGGGAAAGAAGAGGTTTGTTGTACATCCCCAGTTTTACTTAATATGAAAGTCAAAACTATTTTCTTCCTGCAGGTATATCTATGGAGGGTGATGACATACATTTGGTGGAAATGTCTCACCAAAGAGAGATGAATATGGATGACCACATTACTCCTGAAAAAAAGGTAACCTAACTCTTATTCTTTTCTCTACCCGTTTTTTCTTTCTGTTTCAACTTTTATACCTATCATTTTCCTGTACACTTGCATATTACTTATATGTATGGCGATGTGTTTCTTATTGAGTGGCAAAGAACGAGTATCCACTAATATCTATTGTGGTTAATTACCTGATGCAGATCTATGACTGGTGTCCTGCATGCAAAAGAAAAGAGAGTGAACTGTGATTTGTATTGATATTTTTCAAAATAGACGTCAAATGTAACAACCATGTGTCTTGTTCCTTCTTAACTGCCTGAACAGACAAAAATCCTTATCAATTCTGGAGATTATGGTTTCCTGCACTTTTGTGATGCCGTTCTTTTTCTTTTTTCCTTCTTTTTGTTTTTAGTAAGAGCTCAAAAGAAGGACGTAGTGATACCAGTGCTTGGACTGACACGGCTTTAGAATGAGCTCAAAAGGCAAAGATGAAGTATGTCATAAACTACATAACTAACCCCTACACTTAACATAATAAAAAATAAATAATCAATGCTTAAAAGTTATGAAATGCTCTGCTATGGTATAATAACTACCTTCCTGATGATTGTAGTCACATCTATGAACAAATATCAGTAGGGCCATTTTTAATTTTATTATATATTTTTGGCTGGACCTTGTATTTTGTGGCCAGTTATTTAGAAGCGTAAAATGAGGCCACAACACTTGCTTCAAACGAACAGGGGAAGAAAAAATCGAACCCCGATGCGGAACTGGTCTCCGATGGTGATTTTCTTTAACCCAGTTCTTCAGCTGCATCTAGATCTAGTCGGCGTAACTCGGCTTTTAGGTTCTATCCATGAAATGCTACGAAACTTGCTCTATAATATCACATTTGTGATGCATTTCTTTATCACTGAGTTTTTTTGTTGGGCTTTTCTAGCAAATATCTACATTCATGCTTTATCTCAATAAATTTGACTTATTCAAAAAGAAGTTTCTAAAAATAAGGAGTTATAAGAATGTCGCATGTTAGACCTAAGAGGACACTTGTATGAGATTGGATTACAATTCATTTTATATATTATTTTTTTTATATTAAACTCCTCTGAATGTATGTGATATGTTCAAAGATTATCATCCAGTATCTAATTAATACCAAGAAACTGAGAGTGCATATAAGTAAATGGTTTTCTTGCGTCTTCTTTTCAGAATGGAAGTTGTAGAATACGCTTGCTTTAGGTATTATAGTCTTATAGCTTCTATGTATCTTCTCATGAGTGTTATTTATAATTTTTTGTTCTCAGTTTCTATATGAATCTGTGACTCTGTGTAACTGTGTCCAATTTATATCCTTTTTTTTTTGTTATTGCTAATATATGTGTTTTAATTACATACGTATCAGACATGAAAGAAGCTGAGGTTTAATTCTCTTCAAATGGGTTGTTCGATTTTGATTTTGTGTGTAAAATCTGTCAACTTTCATTTGGTGTTAGTTGGATACTTCATAGTATAGATTGGTTGAGATGATTAAGTTAACTATTTCTGTAATTGTATAATAGCTATAGTTTGTTTTTTGTTGTAGACCTAAAAGAGCAGTTCTTGGAAGATTCACAACTAGATTTTCATTTAGTGACAGACGGTTGGCTTTCCATTCTTTTGTTCTTTTTCGTGTGTGATTTTTTTAAGAGTTGAAAAGCTGCGGTCATTCACGAGGTATGCATTTCTTATTGTCTTTCAATAATGTCCAGTAAATTTCTTTTTTTGTGTGTGTGTGTGTGTGTGTGTGTGAAAACATCGATCTTTGCGTGAGGTCGCTAACAGTTGTTCTTAAACATGACTTGGGATTTATATATTGATATCTAAGTTTGGTTTTATTTTATTTTTTTATTTTTTTGTTCTTGTACTTTTGGGCAATGTTCTTTCTCTTGCAGGACCGTGAAAGTTGAAAGATAACTTATACCAGATTTTAATATGCCTATGAATTTTAATAACTTTTACTGTATTCAAATCACGGCCCATCTAAAACTTGAAAAGCAGCCAAGGCTTGTATATGAAATAAAAGGAATTTTTTTATCTAATAAACGAATTTTCTTACAAAGTTGCTGGCTTGGCGGAAAATTTTCTGTCAGACAGTTTGATGCAAGTTTTGCTCATAAGTTATAATTACAATCTATACGACAACATAACTTCTTTTCCTTTTTCCTTTTATCACCATCCTCCCCAGTTTTGATGGCTTAATTTACTTTTATTACCGGTCCTTAGTGCTTGTGATTCAACAAACAGCTAATTACTTTCCATGTACATTTGCAGGTTAAAGCTTTTCTTAGGGGAGATTCTCTTCCATTCTCGGTCGGACTGTTCGAGGGTATAGCATTCTAGGTGAACATGTACACTCAGTGTAATAATATGAGGATCTTGAAACAATGTCAAGTTAACATACATAATAATGTAAAGGGTTGCAACAACTGCCTAAAAAGCTGTGTAATGAGGTCTTTGTGGTGAAAAATTATTTTGTGAACAAACAGTGTTGAAAAGAATACAACTTTTTATAAAACCTTTTTGTAATCATTTTGTCGGGCTTTAGAGAGCTCTTGTTAGTTGTGGTGAAAATTGGAGACTTTATGTGTACTCAGTTGAAGATTTCAAATTTTGTTCAAATTTATTTAACATAAACTTTATTTGTATCAAATTTAGTAACAATGTTTAAAACATATAAATAAATTAGACTAATCATTTCAAGAGACGACAAATTTTTATTATATTTTAGACCAAAATATGACCTGCAACAAGTGATGACAAATTTTTAGTGTATTTTTAGACTGAATTTGAGAATTTTTAGTGTATTCTTAGACTAAATTTGAGTCCGCCGTGCGTGCACGGCGTAACCCAACTAGTATCCATATATGAAGAAGTAAGGCCTTTTGTAGTGGTGACACGTGTCCAGTTTTGGTGTGTTAAAAAATTGACAAGTGTCCAACTTTAATTACAATTTTGCCACCCATTTTCATTGCACATTTTTGGCACTTATTTTTTCTTTGGCTAAGAAAAAATGGGACCAAATAAGATTTATCTCCTCTCCCTTTCAAACACAAATGTCCTCCAACTTCAGCTATATTTACGAGTTCTGCCACTGCTTTCAACGTGAAATTTTGCCCCTTTTTTACACACGTGCCTTTTGCTTTTTCCCGATTTTTGGGTGTGTGCTTCTCAGTCTTTCGGTCAAACACGTAAAACTTAAATGGTAAATTATGGATGTAAGAAAATGTCAGCTTTTGCTGCACCCGCACGTCTTCCTCTTCAGACAAGCCCAAAATTAGGGAACACCACTTCTCCTGTTCTCCATTCCAAAATCCCACATTACCTTCCCTATTCCACATTCATCCATTCTTTTTCTCCATTTCCCAAAACTCTAAACCGTACCTTCCCCTGTTCCTCATTCACCCTAGAACACAAGATTTCACCCCAAAAAAACCATGATAAACCATGATCGCCGCTGGGAGCTACGCACCCCCTCTGGCGCCGATGAGCGGTGGGGGCTCACTGCAAGTGCGCCGCCACAGGAAGGCGGCCGGAGTGTCATGGCGGCGGCGTAGTCGAACAACACGTTGTCTAGCCTGCGCGAGAAGAAAAGCGAGCGGGTAGAGAATGACGACGAGATGGCATTGAGCTCGCTGGAGATAGCCGACGGCGGTGGCGACGGGCAGCCGGGAGGAAGAAGCTCCGCCGAGAACTGGTTAGTTTTCGGAAAAGGTAAGAAATTCATCCATATCTTTCATATTTCTCTATCTTTCAACATACAAATATGTTTTTCTAGACTTATAACTTTTCTCTGCTTTTATGTTTCCTCAGTTGTAGTTTCCACAATTCAGCAATTCTCTCTGAAAACATTACAAGAGAACCCTAGGTACACTGCAAAATTGCAGCTCCGGTCCGCATACTACCACATGCAGCTATCACCTCCTCTTCTCAGAACCCACAAAATGCAGTGGCTGACCGCCTCTTTCCAGCCCATCTAGATTCCGACTCCCGAGGCGGAGGTATTGATGCGGCCGAATTTTTAATTCTCTGTTGTGTTTTAGATTAATTAGGCATAATTTTCCTGATTGTGGGTGCCGAATCTTTTGTTTTTCTTTCATATTGTGTAAAATTAGTGAGTATACAGATAT